CTAACGTAGTCCCGATATACAAGAAAGGGGATAGACAGGAGGCACTGAATTACAGGCCAGTGTCCCTAACCTGCATACCATGCAAGCTGATGGAGAAGATTGTGCGAAGAAAGCTAGTGGAGCATCTGGAGCGAAGGAACTTTGTAACACAGCATCAACATGGATTCAGGGATGGCAGGTCCTGGCCTCACAGGGTTACTTGAATTCTACGACCAGACAAAGAAATCACGCAAGAAAGAGAGGGGTGGGCAGACTGCATATTTTTGGATTGCCAGAAAGCCTTTGATACAGTGCCACACAAGAGGCTAGTGAAAAAGCTGGAGATGCAGGCTGGAGTGAAAGAGAAGGTACTCCATTGGATAAAGGAGTACCAACAGGACACAACGAGTCAGTGTGAGGGGTGAGGTCTCAGATTGGCGAGACGTTACGAGTGGAGTCCCGCAGGGGTCAGTCCTTGGACCTATACTGTTTCTGGTATATGTAAATGATCTCCCAGAGGGTATAGAATCGTTTCTCTCAATGTTTGCTGATGATACAAAAATTATAAGGAGTATTAAGACAGAGGTTGATAGTAGGAGGCTACAAGATGACCTAGACAGACTGAGTGAATGGTCCAACAAATGGCTGTTGAAGTTCAACCCGAGTAAATGCAAAGTAATGAAACTAGGCAGTGGAAACAGGAGGCCAAACACAGGATACAGAATAGGAGATGAAGTACTTAATGAAACGAACAGAGAGAAAGATCTAGGAGTTGATATCACACCAAACCTGTCTCCTGAAGCCCACATAAAAAGAATAACGTCTGCGGCATATGCGAGGCTGGCTAATATCAGAACAGCGTTCAGGAACCTGTGTAAGGAATCATTCAGAATCTTGTACACCACATATGTAAGACCAATCCTGGAGTATGCGGCCCCAGCATGGAGCCCGTACCTTGTCAAGCACAAGACGAAGCTGGAAAAAGTCCAAAGGTATGCCACTACACTAGTCCCAGAACTAAGAGGCATGAGTTACGAGGAAAGGCTGCGGGAAATGCACCTTACGACCCTGGAGGACAGAAGAGTAAGGGGAGACATGATCACTACCTACAAAATTCTCAGAGGAATTGATAGGGTAGACAAGGATAAACTGTTTAACACGGGTGGGACGCGAACAAGGGGACACAGGTGAAACTGAGTACCCACATGAGCCACAGAGACGTTAGAAAGAACTTTTTTAGTGTCAGAGTAGTTAACAGATGGAATGCATTAGGCAGTGATGTGGTGGAGGCTGACTCCATACACAGTTTCAAATGTAGATATGATAGAGCCCAGTAGGCTCAGGAACCTGTACACCAGTTAGTTGAGAGGCGGGACCAAAGAACCAGAGCTCAACCCCCGCAAGCACAACTAGGTGAGCACAACTAGTACCCAACAACCGTAATATTTAACAACCTGTATTCCAAAAAAAAAAAACCTTTTAATTACCGCAGCGCCCCAGATCCCGGATGGAGAAGGAATTATGAGATCATTCTTGATCTAATTTCTGACCAATCCGGAGTACTTTAGCTCTTAAGACTAGTTTGTGAGTTTGTGAGCAGCGTGTGCGCGTGTGTGTGTGTGTGTGTGTGTGTGTGTGTGTGTGTGTGTGTGTGTGTGTGTGTGTGTGTGTGTGTGTGTGTGTACTCACCTAGTTGTACTCACCTAGTTGTGTTTGCGGGGGTTGAGCTCTGGCTCTTTGGTCCCGCCTCTCAACCTCAACCTGTGTGTGTGTGTGTGTGTGTGTGTGTGTGTGTGTGTGTGTGTGTGTGTGTGTGTGTGTGTGTGTGTGTGTGTGTGTGTGTGTGTGTGTGTGGTGTTTGGTGGTGATTATTGTGTGTGTTGTACTGCGTATCATTCCATTCACCTAGGGGTACTAGGAGACTCGAACCTTGGACCCCGTGTGTGTAAAGCCGAAGCTCTATCGACCGAGCTATTGAGTGACCTTAATAAGAAAAGCTGGACTGTGTGTTTTACTTGAGAAAATTTTACTTGCAGTTTTACTTAAGAAAATTTTACTTGCAGTTTTACTTAAGAAAATTTTACTTGCAGTTTTACTTAAGAAAATTTTACTTGCAGTTTTACTTAAGAAAACTGTACTTGTTTTCGCCCGTGTTGAATCTGGTATAATATCCGATTTGCTTTATTAACATACTAGTTCAGCTCCAGCTCTCGGTCCTCGCCTCTCCAGATATGTGAAAATATAATAGTGAACGATCTCAAAAAACCATATAATATGCACATGAGAAAAGAAAACGTGATAATATATACGAGGGAGAATATACATTAGAAAATATATATTAAGACACAAGTCATTCAATCAAATCACGGGGCTATTCATGCCCATGCAGCCTTTTGAGTGGGTAAATCTTCATTAATCATCAACTTAACGCACTCAGGTGTCTTTAGACCTTATAAAGGTCTTTAAGATTTACAGAAGATAATGGAGGCAGTTGCTACGAGAATAATTAATTGCTGTGAAAATCAATTTTGCAGAAAATTTTTTTGTGATAAAGTTTGTTAGGTGGAATTTATTGACAGGATTTTTTGGTTTACTGTGAATTAAGAAGTTTACCTGGACGACCGTAGGTAAACTTTTAGACAGGTCTGTCTGTCTCTCTGTCTCTCTGTCTCTGTCTCTGTCTCTGTCTCTCTCTCTCTCTCTCTCTCTCTCTCTCTCTCTCTCTCTCTCTCTCTCTCTCTCTCTCTCTCTCTCTCTCTCTCTCTCTCTCAACATCCTGTTTACAATATCAAGACAAACTGTTTACAACTTAATTCGGATCATAAACTTTACCTCACCCTTAATTATATATCGAATTGGTGTGTTTTGTAAATATTGGATCATTAAAGAAATAGTTCCGGCATTGTGACGGTAGAGCGACGGTCTCGCTTCATGCAGGTCGGCGTTCAATCCCCGCGACCGTCCACAAGTGGTTGGGCACCATTCCTTTCCCACCGTCCCATCCCAAATCATACCTCATACTTGGCAGGTGTTCAGTGACATCATACCTCACAGCTGTTAACTTTCTTTTGAGACAATCAATCACTGTCAACTTCCTGATGAGACAGAATCCACAAGCTGTCAAGGTTCCGGCGACACGATATCTCACAGCTTAAACTTTCCGGCAACTTACAGCTGTCAAGGCTTAGTGGTTATCACTCTCCTGCTGTCAGTTCTGACAAGCCAGGTCGCCCAGCTTGTCACCTTCCTGTCAAATCACTCAGCTCAACTGTCAACTGCCTGGTGATATATATCTGCCTCTTAGTTGACGACTTCTACTTAAATTCAACGATATCCACCGATATCAATCTGATTGGCACTCAGTCTTTCCTATATCAAATACAGTCAATTTCATGTCCACTTTACTTACAATATTATCATTGTTCGCTTCTATAATATTTGGCTTCATTATTATTTTTATTTTTATAATCGATGTTCTGTTGTTTTGTGAATTTTTTAAATTATATTTATTTTCTTCCAGATATTTCCACGCATTTTTACTAATTTCTACGCATATATACGCATTTCCACGCATGTTTCACCCATATCCACGCATGTACACGCATTTACACGCATTTTTCACCCATTTCCACGCATTTTCTTAACTCATTTCCACGCGTGTATACGTATTTCCACGCATGTACACGTATTTCCACGCATGTATACGTATTTCCACGCATTTTACTCATTTCCACGCATGTATACGTATTTCCGCGCATTTTTCCCTCATTTCCACTCATTAATACGTATTTCCACTAATTTTTCACTCATTTCCACGCATGAATACGTATTTCCACGCATTTTTCACTAATTTCCACGCATGAGTACGTATTCCACGCATTTTTCACTCATTTCCACGCATGGATACGTATTCCACGCATTTTTCACTCATTTCCACGCATGAATACGTATTCCACGCATTTTTCACTCATTTTCACGCATGAATACGTATTCCATGCATTTTTCACTCATTTCCACGCATGAATACGTATTCCATGCATTTTTCACTAATTTCCACGCATGAATACGTATTCCACGCATTTTTCACTCATTTTCACGCATGAATACGTATTCCATGCATTTTTCACTCATTTCCACGCATGAATACGTATTCCATGCATTTTTCACTCATTTCCACGCATGAATACGTATTCCATGCATTTTTCACTCATTTCCACGCATGTATACGCATTTTCACGCATTTTCAAACATTTTCAGATGTGATCATGTTAAATACAATTGTTCTCCTGTGTATATTGTGTATCTTTAGTTCTTGTCTCGTTGCTTTAAACCGTTGCGACAAGAATATTCACATTTATGAGTGACTGATGAGTAAAGACTGGAAAAAGGTGAATAAAAGACAAGAATAACTGGTGAGTAAAAAGCCGAATTGGTGAGCATCAAAGTTAGCAATAATGGCTGAGTAAGAGTTGAGTAATTGTTGAGTTAAAAAGCTAAGAGTTAGAGGTGTGTGTAAGGTGAGAGTAAGTGGTGAGTAAATGGTGAGTAAATGATTAGTAAATGGTGAGTAAATGGTGAGTTAATGATGAGTAAATGATGAGTAATGGTGAGTAAATGGTGAGTAAATGGTGAGTAAATGATGAGTAAATGATGAGTAAATGATGAGTAAATGGTGAGTAAATGATGAGTAAATGGTGAGTAAATGATTAGTAAATGATGAGTAAATGATGAGTAAATGGTGAGTAAATGATGAGTAAATGGTGAGTAAATGATGAGTAAACGATGAGTAAATGGTGAGTCATCTGGTGTTAAAGGGAACCTGATATCATTACACTGCCCTGTCACTTGAGTCCATGAGTCCAGGCAACATTCACAAGGCCCTTACTCATAGCGGGGATAGCGGAAATGGTTGAGACCATTGCTATCGTCATGGGTTTCTTGATATCATCTCCTTGAGAGATAACAGCGGTCCTGAGAGCCATCTCAGAGGGTAGTATTAGGCATCCATCTGTCTCAGGAGACTATTGGGCTCTGGTTGTCGGTCTGGAGTGGCCTCTTCAGGGCTCAAAGCCAGGGTAGGTTCATATGGGGGAGAAGCTGTTACCCATGCAGCAGGTCCCCTCTCTCCAGGGCGCAAAGCCTGGGTAGGTTGATATTGGGGGAGAAGCTGTTACCCATGCAGCAGGTTCGCCCCCTCTCCACGGCGCCGAAAGTCTCCAGTGGGTAATTTCACGCTTAATGGCAAGTTTAAACTTAACAGCGCCATCTATGAGTGTGATTTAAAACTAAATGTACATTTAACTTCTCATTTCTCACAAGAATAATGTCATTTCCCACAAGATTAATGCCATTTCTCACAAGAGTAATGCCATTTCTCACAAGATTAATGCCATTTCTCACAAGATTAATACCATTTCTCACAAGATTTATCCCATTTCTCACAAGATTAATCCCATTTCTCACAAGATTAATCCCATTTCTCACAAGATTAATGCTATTTCTCACAAGATTAATCCCATTTCTCACAAGATTATGAGGGGCCATCTATGAGCCCAATTTGTAATTAAATGTTTCCAAGATTACTAATGTTAACGTTAGTCTGTCGGGTATCCCCCTGCACATACGATACACTGACCGAGATGTCTCTCACTCTCTCTCTCTCTCTCAACTACAGGATACGCGGCCGCCTCACTCTTCGCCCTGCTGTGTGCCATTCCCTTCACCTATAGAATCCTGACACAGGAAACAGACCGCTGGAACTCCTATTACATCGCCGCCTTTCACGCCCACGTGGTCCTCTACTTCGGTAACTCCTGCATAGGTAAGGTCGAAGCTCTCCCGACCGAGCTATTGAGTAGATTTAATAAGGAAAGTTAAGTTCCAGAGGAATTTTCTGAAATTTTCTTTCATATTGAGGTACACTGTCAATTTACCTGTTCAAGTTACTCAGGTCTGGAACTACACTGAAAGTAATTCTATGAATATGTATATTACTGTGTATTTAAGTGTTGATTTTAAGCACTCAGTACGTTGAAGGGGTTAGTTAGCCGCCGCTTGAACGAGGCTAGCCTGAGTGGGCGCGGCTTGTTAATTGAGTTCATTCATAAACAGGAGGGTAGTTGATGAATAGACCCTCGTCTATTCATCAACTGCCCTCCTGCTTTAATCCATCAACTGCCCTCAATTATTTGATCATAATTGATGAGGTCGCGCTTCGAATGTCATTAAATAGATGCTACTCTGCCTCCACTACACCCATTAACCCAGAAATAGGAGAACGATCCCAGTTCCCATTACATAATGGGATGCTGTACGACTACAACCAATGGTGTTATCAACACTCTACAATGAATGGCCCCCAAAAAATCCTATAAAAATCAACGTAATTTGCAAATCCTGAAATACAGTGACTCTTGCTATCACTAGATTTTTTTTGCATGTTCTGCAATTTGTTCATTTGTTCAATTTTTCTGAAGATTACTGACAATGCAGAAATCATTTTCAAAGTTGTGAACTCTTTGATTTATTTATCTGAGTGTTCAGTGTGAATCTATTATGTATTATAGTCTTCAACAGTATTTTATTTACATCTATTCTGAGTGGAGGCGATGAGTCACAATAACGTGGCTGAAGTATGTTGACCAGACCACACACTAGAAGTTGAAGGGACGACGACGTTTCGGTCCGTCCTGGACCATTCTCAAGTCGATCATTCTCAAGTCATTCTCACAATCGACTTGAGAATGGTCCAGGACGGACCGAAACGTCGTCGTTCCTTCAACTTCTAGTGTGTGGTCTGGTCAATATTCTGAGTGGAAAGTGTACACAACTTTTTACTCGAAATACGGGTGATTTCGAACATGCGTTCGAAATGTGGTAAGAAAAGGAGATTAAATTCTGATTAATGTATAACTGATCCTTTGGTTTATGACTGGTGGAGGATGGCACGGTTTCTGCCTCATCCAAGCCATTACGACTATATAGCACTGGGAAGGGGTCAGGATAAGGATTTGGGATGGGACGGAGGGAAAGGAATGGTGCCCAACCACTTGTGGACGGTCGCGGGGATTGATCGCCGACCTGCATGAAGCGAGACCGTCGCTCTACCGTCCACCCCAAGTGACCAGAACGGTCGCAAATTCCTTGCTGAATGATATTTTTTGAAACGAATAGTGAGGGTCCTCGCTTCTAGCAGGTCGGAGTTCAATCCCCGACCGTCCAAGTGGTTGTGAGAACCTCATTCCTCTCCTTCTATCTCAAATCCTTATCCTCATGTCGCTTCTAAGACAAGAAACTTAAAATAGGAATATTTAGTCAATAGTCATCATTTTGTATTCAACATCCTTGCTATGGATTTTGTCATGTCACGATGATTCTTGAGTTATGTTAATCCGTCTTTATCCCTTCTTGATCCTTCTTTATCCAGCCTTGATCCATCTTTATCCCTGGAGTGTGAGAAGGGAAAATATAGAACAAGAAAAAAATCTTCCTGTCTCGCCTTGCCTTATCTCTCAAGACCTCTGGCGAAACCTTTACATCTTACAGCCAATAATGGCAACTGTGGACTCCTGGGGCCAGATTCACGAAGCAGTTACGCAAGCACTTACGAACCTGGGGCCAGATTCACGAAAGCAGTTACGCAAGCACTTACGAACGTGTACATCTTTTCACAATCTTTGACGGCTTTGGTTACATTTATTAAACAGTTTACAAGCATGAAGACTTGCCAATCAACTGTTGTTATTGTTATAAACAGCCTCCTGGTGCTTCGGAGCTCATTAACTGTTTAATAATTGTAAACAAAGCCGCCAAAGATTGAGAAAAGATGGACAGGTTCGTAAGTGCTTGCGTAACTGCTTCGTGAATCTGGCCCCAGGTTCGTAAGTGCTTGCGTAACTGCTTTCGTGAATCTAGCCCCAGGACTCCTCACTTGGTGGCACATGTGTGTGTGCCTAAAGTGTTCAGAGACACACAGGGGTTAGATCCCATCATACTGGCTTAAATGAATGATATTTTATACGTGTTTCCCCCTAACTCCCTTTTCCCTGTTTTCTATGAATCGTTCTTTTAAGACCTTTTACACGTTGAGTCTTTGGAGGTAAACAGTGACTTCTTTCTCACTGTAACGTCTCTTACTGTGACCTCTCACACTGTAACCTCTCGTACCGTGACCTCTGGCCTCTCCCGCGCCCCAGGTATCGGCGTAGTGATGCTGCTGGCGCTCACAGTCGAAAGATTCATCTCCGTCTGCTATCCTGCCAAGGCGAGGAATCTGTGTGGCGAGACGCGGGCCCATCTCACAGTCGCTATCATACCAGTCGCCACCTTCCTCCTTAATAGTCCCTACCTCTTCCTCGCCCACGTCGCCTCCTGCAGGAGTGACGCAGGTGAGTGACGCAAGGGGAGGGGCTGGCGCAATGGCTGATGTACATACGTGGCTCAAAGATGTGAGGATTTGACGCAGTTGACGCAAGGGGCTGATATACATACGTGACTCAAAGAAGTGAGGAATTGACGCAGTTGACGCAAGGGGCTGATAGCCATACGTGAGTGACTCAAAGATGTGAGAAATTGACGCAGTTGACGCAAGGGGCTGATATACATACGTAAGTGGCTCAAAGAATTGAGGAATTGACGCAGTGACGCAAGGGGACTTGGATAATCACGAATTATTGGATGATGTGCTTACGCAAAAGACGCAAAGAAGTGATACATTGACGCAAGAAATTAGAGCATTGAAGTAAGGGATTAAAATTACTCATGTGATTGACGCAAGGGACAGGAATCACTCACGAAACTGACGCAAGTGAGCATGCGTTAAAGGTGCGTACGCAATTCAAGAAGCGGATGAGCATAGGGAATCAAAATATATATAACTTTGCGTGCATGTGTGTGTGTGCTAGTGCGTGCATGCGTATATTTTTGCGTGTTTGAGTGTATATAGTTTTATACAAGTATTCATCTAGTTGTGCTTTCTTCAGTCGAGCTCTAGTTTCTGGGCCCCAGCCTGTTAACAACTATTCAGCGTATGGAATGAGTATCTCTCTCTCTCTCTCTCTCTCTCTCTCTCTCTCTCTCTCTCTCTCTCTCTCTCTCTCTCTCTCTCTCTCTCTCTCTCTCTCTCTCTCTCTCACCCTTCCCAATTCTTCCATTTTTGGGGCGCCTCGCATTTTTAATCTATTTCTTCTCTCTCATTTTCCTCACTCACTCTGCTGTTCCTCATGTTCCTCATTTTCCTCCTAAACGCTTCCACCAACCGACTTGTTATTCGGTTAACCGGATATGTCGGTCCCATCAGGACACTTGATAGTGTTGGCCGGATTGTAATTAAGTCTATCCGGCCCTGTCCGGTTACCAGGGTTCCCTGGCGGTGTGTGTGTGTGGTGTTTGTCTGCTGTGTGGTGTCTGCTGTGTGGTGTCTGCTGTGGTGTCTGCTGTAGTGTCTGCTGTGTGGTGTCTGCTGTGTGGTGTCTGCTGTGTGGTGTCTGCTGTGTGGAGTCTACTGTGTGGTGTCTGCTGTGTGGTGTCTGCTGTGTGGTGTCTGCTGTGTGGTGTCTGCTGTGGTATCTGCAGTGTGGTGTCTGCTGTGTGGTTTCTGCTGTGTGGTGTCTGCTGTGTAGTGTCTGCTGTGGTATCTGCTGTGTGGTGTCTGCTGTGGTGTCTGCTGTGTGGTATCTGCTGTGGTGGTGTTTGTCTGCTGTGTGGTGTCTGCTGTGTGGTGTTTGTCTGCTGTGTGGTGTCTGCTGTGGTGGCTGCTGCCAGGCAGCCCCAGGCAGGCAGACGCCAGCCCCAGGCAGCCAGACGCCAGCCCCAGTCAGGCAGACGCCAGCCCCAGTCAGGCAGACGCCAGCCCCAGTCAGGCAGACGCCAGCCCCAGGCAGGCAGACGCCAGCCCCAGGCAGCCAGACGCCAG